TTTGGTTAGTTTTATATTCATTGTTTTTAAACTGTTTAGTGTGAGAACTTATCTTAAGGGCTTTTATACAAATCTCTACTATTCTTGTACTTAGTCATTTTAGTATTTAAGGTAAAGATTCTTTAAAATATCTCATCAGAAACTAGCTTATGATTTTATGCTTTGTAATATTTAGTTTCTATATTATGAAGAAGCAGTTTTTTGTTTGCATTAAGTAAAAAGACTTCTTTTGAATACCAGCATGAGAATTTACTTTAGCTTCTATTTTATGAATTTATAAGGTTTTCCCCTAATTTTGTACTCAATGCTAAATGCTAAATAAAGGGCAGTATAATGGGTAAGTTTACTCAATGATCTTGCCTTTTGCCTTCAGTCATTATAAGAAAATAATCAGAACAAGATTCTATTTATAAATATGTAATTCTTTTATATAGTGATGGTCACATACTTCACTGTTACTTCTACAGTGAGCTATTAAGCTAGTTTTTGTGCTTCAAATAATGCAGTACAAAGCATGAGAACATATTTAATAATGAATTACTTGAATGTATACTACACATTGTTTAGGAAATTTTGAACTGCCTTGAAGAGACCCAATCTTCAAGATCTGATTTTGCCTGTTATCTTTTCCAATTTCCAAACAATACCTACTGTATGGCAGTTACTATACTAGGTGATAGTTTATATGTCAGTCTGTTCCCCCCCACCACCCCTTTTAAAAGACTGCCCGATATAAACAAAAAGCATGACATTTATAATGAAGTTTTCTTTTTTTTTTTTTCTTTCCTTTTTGTCTTTTTTCGTGTCCGGCAACGGATTGCAACCCTCAGTGTTGCGCCCGTACCGGACCGGGACCGGCAACGGGATTGCAACCCTCGGCGCTGTGCCCGCACCTTGCTCAGCCAGTGAGCGGGAACCGGTCTGTATGTGGGATCCGAACCCTCGGTGGGAGCGCCGCCGCGCTCCCAAGCGAGCCCAATAATGAAGTTTTCTAAATAAATGTTTTTATGCCATGAAATGTGAAGTGCTAATAACTAAGTGACTTCTTGGGATTTAACAAGATTAAAAATTCTGACAAAACTGAATAAGAAACAAGATCCATTACTCTCCATGTTTGAGAGATCCTGTAAGCAACTGTTAGCTCACACACAGGAATCTGTAGAAATGAGGTGTTCTGTGTTAAAACTACTTATTACCTTATGTAAAATAGCTTGCCAGAATAAATTAAGCCAACAATCTGGATAGATAAATGACTACAGTAAATTAGGTTAACTAACATTCTGAAGGCATAGATTATTTTTATTNACACACACACACACACACACACACACACACACTGTTGGGATGGGCAGTGGGGTGTACTTGGGTTAGCTACAATTAAAAACATTATTTCAACTTCTCATTTCACTTATTTTATGTTTAGACAGGGCCTTGGTGATAAGGTGGTGTAAATTAGAACTTAGGATATTTATGTTTTAAAGCAGAAATAACTCATAAATAAGATGTTTTCTGGTTTGAAGGATGTTCCATTAGTATGATTTTTAGATTAATCTATATAGACAAGGCATATCAGAGAAACCTGTAGGTTATTTATTTTCTGCAGTGTTAATGTGTCAGATAGTTGAAATTGTAATTGTTTTATATTCATTTTGTAGCCAATGGACAATTCACTGAATTTTAAAAAGGAATTATACTATAAACCTTTATAAATGTATATAAGTACTTCCTAAATATTTAATTGTCTACATGCCAAGCTTGCTTTTTCTCTCTGTCAATATTGAGGAAAACCATAAATTGACCTGTAATGCATCTACTGTTAATAGTTTTGGTTAGTTTTATATTCATTGTTTTTAAACTGTTTAGTGTGAGAACTTATCTTAAGGGCTTTTATACAAATCTCTACTATTCTTGTACTTAGTCATTTTAGTATTTAAGGTAAAGATTCTTTAAAATATCTCATCAGAAACTAGCTTATGATTTTATGCTTTGTAATATTTAGTTTCTATATTATGAAGAAGCAGTTTTTTGTTTGCATTAAGTAAAAAGACTTCTTTTGAATACCAGCATGAGAATTTACTTTAGCTTCTATTTTATGAATTTATAAGGTTTTCCCCTAATTTTGTACTCAATGCTAAATGCTAAATAAAGGGCAGTATAATGGGTAAGTTTACTCAATGATCTTGCCTTTTGCCTTCAGTCATTATAAGAAAATAATCAGAACAAGATTCTATTTATAAATATGTAATTCTTTTATATAGTGATGGTCACATACTTCACTGTTACTTCTACAGTGAGCTATTAAGCTAGTTTTTGTGCTTCAAATAATGCAGTACAAAGCATGAGAACATATTTAATAATGAATTACTTGAATGTATACTACACATTGTTTAGGAAATTTTGAACTGCCTTGAAGAGACCCAATCTTCAAGATCTGATTTTGCCTGTTATCTTTTCCAATTTCCAAACAATACCTACTGTATGGCAGTTACTATACTAGGTGATAGTTTATATGTCAGTCTGTTCCCCCCCACCACCCCTTTTAAAAGACTGCCCGATATAAACAAAAAGCATGACATTTATAATGAAGTTTTCTTTTTTTTTTTTTCTTTCCTTTTTGTCTTTTTTCGTGTCCGGCAACGGATTGCAACCCTCAGTGTTGCGCGCGTACCGGACCGGGACCGGCACGGGATTGCAACCCTCGGCGCTGTGCCCGCACCTTGCTCAGCCAGTGAGCGGGAACCGGTCTGTATGTGGGATCCGAACCCTCGGCGGGAGCGCCGCCGCGCTCCCAAGCGAGCCCAATAATGAAGTTTTCTTTTTTTTTTCTTTCCTTTTTGTCTTTTTTCGTGTCCGGCAACGGATTGCAACCCTCAGTGTTGCGCGCGTACCGGACCGGGACCGGCACGGGATTGCAACCCTCGGCGCTGTGCCCGCACCTTGCTCAGCCAGTGAGCGGGAACCGGTCTGTATGTGGGATCCGAACCCTCGGCGGGAGCGCCGCCGCGCTCCCAAGCGAGCCCAATAATGAAGTTTTCTAAATAAATGTTTTTATGCCATGAAATGTGAAGTGCTAATAACTAAGTGACTTCTTGGGATTTAACAAGATTAAAAATTCTGACAAAACTGAATAAGAAACAAGATCCATTACTCTCCATGTTTGAGAGATCCTGTAAGCAACTGTTAGCTCACACACAGGAATCTGTAGAAATGAGGTGTTCTGTGTTAAAACTACTTATTACCTTATGTAAAATAGCTTGCCAGAATAAATTAAGCCAACAATCTGGATAGATAAATGACTACAGTAAATTAGGTTAACTAACATTCTGAAGGCATAGATTATTTTTATTTTTATTCTAATAATACAAAATATCTTACTCAGTCTCAGCCTTGCAAGGACAATTTGACTACTGCTACTGTTCTTTTGTGGGGTATATTTTTCTATAAAATTATTGTCTGCACTCTGCATTCATTGGTCAGGAGAGTTGTTTAATATGTATATGCTGTACCTAAATATTAAAATTGTCTTCGTATTTTATATGCAATGACTCATACAGTCTTGGGAAGAAGTCTGTGATGGACCTGACATGCTTAAGTGACAGATTTGTGTTTGAAAGTGGAGTACCCAAATGAATAAGATTGGCTCTCATGGAGCCTGTAGAATGAAGTAGAACTTCCCATAAGGAAAGAACTGTCATTTCTGTTTTATTAGAACACACCTATATCTTTGGAGATTCTTTTAAAGTATTAGTAATAGCACTGAATAAACCACAGGTAAATACTCCAGTTAATTTCTTAATGGATATGCCAATTAGCTATAAGAATGAGAGATCATGTGGAGATTCTTTTAAAATATTAGTAATAGCACTGAATAAACCACAAGTAAATACTCCAGTTAATTTCTTAATGGATATGCCAATTAGCTATAAGAATGAGAGATCATGTAATTCTTAATGGTAAGGAATGTAGGTTCAATGCTAGGATGTTTCCTAATGGTATTAAAAATAAGATAACCTGGTTTAAATTTCATAAAAATGCTTTTATTTGTGAAATAGAGAAGCTAGTGGTTTGTTATAGAAGTAATATTGCTTTTTATATAGTTGTTAGGACAACTTATATAATTCTGAAAGTTGTTTTGAAGCAAAAAGTATGATTTTCAGAATTTGGTGGAGCTTCAGAATTAATGTAACAGCTAATGAAATGTCATCAGTGAACTCTATTGAACATAGGAGAAATAAGTTGTCATTACATATCCATTTTTGACTTTCAATTAAATTTACGGATTAAATGAGAAATCAATGGTTTTAAGTGGACTTTGAAACACCAGCACTGCTTTCTGACTCTTCCCGCAAAGTAACGTTTTGTGATTCTGCAATTACTACAAGGAAGGAGGAAAAACCGATTTGCCACTTTGCACCTTTCCGGCTCTTGTGTCTATGCAGGCAAAACACCAAAAAGCTAGACCATTTTGCCTAGAAATGATAATGAGAAATCTGCCAGGTTAGGGCAGATTTCCAAAGCTTTCTGTTTCTCCAGAAAAGGGAGCAAAAGTGAGATTTTTGCTGCACTGGAAAACCGGAGACAGCTAGCATCTACGTGCCGATTTTCTTTCAGTAAATTCATTTAAGTCCAGTGATCCTTACATCCCAACAGTTTTATTATCGCTTAAGTGCTCTACAAACGACCAAGGTAACAGTTAAGTACTAGGTTCTTAGCACTACACGACGCTCCTACCCTAACAGCTCAGTTTAAAGTAGCTACCATTTGAGAGTGTGTGGCTTAATTAGATAGGATAAAAATTTCTGCTATTCAGCAGCTAAAAAATAAAACACCACTAGCCATTCAGATATTAACTGAGTCCCGAGTCTTCTCGAGCAGAGGGCGTGGGAGTATTGCCCTAGAGGAGGCGGGGTCGGCGCCCAGGCTTTCCCTTGGCCCCGCCCCTCCAGGCTTTGCTTCCGGGGCGATAGGGGCTGCCACGTCATCTTCCGGCTCCGATCGCCAGCCGGGCAGTGAATGGTGGGAATCAAGATGGCGGCGGCAGCGGCAGCAGCCAGTATTCGGGAAAGGCAGACAGGTACCAACTTACTCCCTTGTCTCTGCAGTTTCATGCCTGCCACAGCGACATCCTGTTCCTCTGCTTGCCGCCCTCATTCGGTCGAGATGCGTACAGCCAAGAGACCGATCCCCCGGAGTTCAGTCCAGTCTCTACAGCATCAAGAGCCCCTCCCCTTTGAATTTTTGAAGAAGAAATGCCATTAGCTGAGGACTCGGCCCCTCACCAGTAGTGTAGGAGAAGGGGCTTCAGGAGTGGGCCGGTTGCTGTTGTCCTGCTCCTGTCTTCCTACTGGGCCTTAGAAGTCCTTCACGAGATCTAGCAGCTGCTATTTTCTTTCCTGTGTGCCTTTCTCTGAGGTCTCCGGGTTTTTCTTGTAAATTCAGTTTTCCCAGTTTTAATATTGAAAAAACTTCATTTTCTGGCATTTCTACCCCAATTTCAAAATTTAGATTTTGAAATGCCATTTCTATCCAAACCATCATCTTTTGGGGTACCTGCAGAAAAATTCCTGGTGATAGTTTCATCTTCAGTTGCTGGACGGGATTTAAAAATGCCAAAACAAATGAATTATTAATAGCTTTTCCGTTTTAAATGTTTGATGGATGGTGTTTAAAAACAATATATTATGGTTTCATTTTCAGTAGAGCATGTTCATATAGCTTCTATTTATGCTGCGAAATTTGGTAAAGAAAAACGTAGTTCTTTACTTGAGTTTAAGGGTGTTTTTGTTTTTGGTTTTTTTTTTTTCATCTTAGGTATTTTTATTTTTGCCTTATGTTTTGTAAACTTCTCATGACAACTTGGTTTGTACTTGTTAGCCATAAACAGTTTATACTTGTTAGCTAATTGTCTTGAAGTTGTCATGCTAACTATTCTGAGGAGCTAATAGAAATATGCCATCAAGAATGTGCTTACTTGGAAATTCTGTCTCCTGAAATTATGCTTTTTCACGTAAATCTTAACAGGACAATTGGTTACAATTAATATGACCTACAGAAGTAATTTGGGCTGTACTTGATTTCTTCCCTTTGGTACTTAAAGAAAAATTAGTAATAGACTTGAATCTAGCAATGACACAAAAAGGAAGCATACTGAGCTGTGTTCTGCTTCCCAATAGATAACTGAGTATAACCCATCAGATAAAGTCAGGCATAACTTAAATATAGGAAAGTCTAAATAAGATTTGGAGAATATTTGTCATTCATTTTATCTATGTAAGTGAGTAGAATCCCCTCTTGTCCTAGCACTGTGGTTTTGATACTTAATGAAACTAAATGAATTAGGTCATACTACATATGTACCAATGCAAGGGAGCTTTTTGAAAAATTAAGTTTGTAAATTTTTATATGCAGAAACTTTGTAGAATATTAAAATCTAATAGTTTGTATTTCTGCAGAAATAAACAGTACAATTTCACATCATTATTAGGTAGGTTGTGCTAGATCAGTTATTTATCACATTAGTATTGTGATTAAGTTCTGTCTTATTTTCAAAGGTAAAATCCCTTTATGTGTGCTTTAATAGAGGAAATTATTCCTCTGATGCCTATTGAGAATGGGAAATAATTCACAATTCTCAAATATTCTAAATACAAGACACTGTGACACAAAAGAATTTGCAGTCAATTTGGATAGATAATAGTTGATATTTATTGAGCATTTATTATTTCCAGGCATTGTTTTAGATAATTTTGTATATATTATTATCTCCATTTTACAGAACAGGAAGCTAAGATATAGAGAGGTTAACTAGCGTATCTCTTTCTTTCTTTGCCTACCTGAACAATCTTTATTGATTTTTTAAAGATCACGTCAAAAGCCATCTTCGTACAAGCTTCTTGGATCACTCCCTCTCTCTGTCTTTACCTTCAGTTCAACAGGCAGAATCAGTTGCTTCCTCCTCTGTGATGCTGTTGTCCTTCATGCACGCCTTTCTGTTGCAGGTTCTTGCTCATCTCCCCCACTTCTCAACACTGCAGAGTGTCAGATTAACTGCTTTCCCTCCTGTGGTGATCTTATCTAGCCTCTTAGCTTTAAGTGCTATCTGTATGCTGATATTTCCACGTTTATATCTCTAGTTTGGACCTCTCCTCTGAACTTGGCCTACCCCGTATCTGTTAATGGCAACTCCATCCTTGTAGTTGCTCAAGTCAAAAACCTTGAAGTATTCTTGGCTTTTCTCTTTCATATCTTATGTCATATCTGTCAGTAAATCTGTGCAGTTCTATTCTGAAAATATATTCAGGATCTGACCATTGTCATTGCTATCCCCCAGGTCCAATTTACCCTGAATTTCTGCAATAACCTTCTATTTGGTCTCCTTGCTTTTACAACCCTGTTCCCTTTCATTCTTTTCCACGCAGTAATCAAACTGATCATGTTATATATATGCTCAAAACCTTGCACCAACTTCCCATTTCAATCATGGCAAAAGACTCAGTGATCTTACAGTGGTCTACAAGGTTGTATGTGAACTGGTCTACACTTACCTTTCTGAACTCACCCCCTATTACTTTCCCCTTTCCTTAAACACACCAGAAATGCTCCCACCTCAGAGCCTTTTATTTGTTTCCTCTTTCTGGAATACTCTTTGTGAGATATCTGCGTGGCTCACTCCCTCACCTTTAGATCTTCACTCAAATGTTACCTTCTCAGGAGGCCTTCCCTGATCACTCTGTTTAAAATTATACTCCTCCCCTTTCTCAATCTTTTTTTTCTCCATTGCACTTATCATGATCTCACATACCATATGTTTTACTTATTTTGTTAATTGTCTTTTTCCCCCAACAAGAATGAAAGCTACTTGAGGACAGGTAACTTTTATTCAGACTGCTTTGTTCAGTGTGCTAGATCGCCAATAACTAGAGCAGTGTCAGGCACAAGGTAAGCACTCACTAAACATTTGTTGAATGAATGAATGGTAAATATAGTCAGCAGTATTTGTTCAGTGACTGAATGAAGAAAACATTCCAGTTAAGAGTGAAACTACATTAACCAAATCTGGGAATATGGATAGTATATTTAGAGCCAACAGAGAAAACTAGTTTGTCATTTTAGGTAAAAGCAATGATTTAAGCCCTGGGAAGTTAAACTCTGATGAAAGTAAAATTGATTTCTTATTACTCTTTGAACACAGGCCATGTACTTCATCAGTAAATCCACTGTATCAAAATACCTTTTAACAAGTTAGCCAAAGCTTGGAGTTGGAAAAATTCTCCTAGATTGTGCTGATAAGGCAAATGTGGGATTATCTATCTGCTGGTACTGGCCTCTTTAGATTAACTAAAGCCTAACTCTGGAGAACACTTAAAACACCTGAGGCTCACATGGCGGCCAGAGCTGTAGTTCTTCCAAGTTGTCATGTGTTAAAATTGTGTACAGCTGTTCCTCGAAACAACGTTTTTCTCTCTTGGGTCATCAGTGCCAGGGTGTTGTTGTCTTTATTGCCTGGAAGTTGGGAAAAGAGCTCTCCTAAAGCACAGTGGGAGAGTTAATCCTGGAACACTCTATGCCTCTTGCGGTATTTCACTTCTAAGTACTAAAGTGTTTTTTAGTTTATGTTTATTTTTAATACCATAACATTTGTAAGCCTCTGAAGTAGGTATAAATTACTGGTAATGTGTATTATGGGCTAGACATTAAGTACTAACATTTTACAAAAAAATCATGTATGTATGTATACACATATGAATATACAAATATATCACTGAAGTGCAATCGCTTCAGTGATGGAAGTGTTACAGTATTTTACCTACCTCAGCAAACATTTAATAGAAGTTTTTCTCATGAGTGCATGAATATACTATAAATTGATTCTCAGGTGATTTTCGTATTATATAGTCCTCTGGTAGGAGTTTGGAGTGTAGGTTATTCTGTATTACTTTATAAAGCCTGATGCAAATATTTTAAAAAGTCAAGTACATTTTAAGGTTGCCAGTCTTTTAAAAATTAAATCACCTAACTTGTACTGTCCCTTGAATATTTGGCCATCTCAATTTCACATAGAAGTATATTAAGGGATTTTCATTTTCTTTAGGAAATATCTCTGAGTCTGCTATAACACATGAACAGACGAGCAATAAAAACCACAAAGTACTATAACATATAGAGCATAACTGCTGTGATTTTTGAAATTGTATATTTTCTTAGTGGGAATTATCACTCATCTATTACATCTATGGTAAAATCTCAGTATTTACAGGGAGCATAACAATATAACTTTTAAGCAATATAACTTTTCAGTGAATCTGACAGAATAAATTGGTTGTAAAATGTACTTTTAGGTAACTAAAAAATAGACCTGTGTGAAGGTTTTTTTATACGTGAACCAGTTAAATATGTCATAAATAATTTTTGTTTTTAGAAAAACTGATCTTAATCTATGCTTTCAGCCAATGAATAGACAATAGCAGTTATCTCTTCAGACCATTGCAAGTTCATGATTGAAGAAATTTCTTTTTGCATCTATATAAAATGTAGTGTGAGATAGGAGAAATGTGAAAGTCTTTTTCCTCAACATTTTCCACAGTTTCATCTGGGGACAGATGCCTACTGTATTTTAGAAAATCTTCCAAAAACATGCCAATTAGGTATTGGTGGAATGGTAATACAATGTCTGGCCCCTAGTTCTTATTCATCCTGTCATTTGATTAATTAGTTTTACTAGAGTTGATTTGTGCATTTTGTTTTGTGGTGGTAAATAGAAAGTGTAGAGGAAAAATGAAATCCTTAAAAAAATTATAGTATTTGATAAAAACTTTTTATTTCCAGTGGCTTTGAAGCGTATGTTGAATTGATTTGTGCATTTTGTTTTGTGGTGGTAAATAGAAAGTGTAGAGGAAAAATGAAATCCTTAAAAAAAATTATAGTATTTGATAAAAACTTTTTATTTCCAGTGGCTTTGAAGCGTATGTTGAATTTCAATGTGCCTCATGTTAAAAACAGCACTGGAGAACCAGTATGGAAGGTAAGAGTTTATCTTAATGGAAACGATTTCCTTTTTGTCAGCCCTATTGGTGGTAGAGGGAATTTCTTGTTAATACTAAACTAGTTATAAAGCATGAGTTATAAAGCATGAGTAATTTATTTTTATTTAACGTGATTTCTTAATGTGAATCTTTTTTTTATGAATATTTTATGGAGTAAGACAGGCAATGAAATACTAATATTCATTTAGGGAATCTAGCTGATCTCTTGGGTAGAGTCTTACTGACAGGTCTTTACCCTTGGTGATGTTTTGTCCCTTAGCTTTGCAAGTCCAGACTTTGGATCTTGTAATCCTGCTCAAGGTTAGTCAGATTCAGAAGGACTGGTCCATTTTCATCAACTCATGAGACAGTGACTTATAAACCACAGTGTCAGTTTATTAATTTATGAGATATAAAACTGTCAGTAAAACTTACTTGGACCAGAAAGCAATCTACAAGCTTTCTGCTTTGAGAAGTGCTGAAGAGTCTTTAAAAATTGCTTTTCTTTGGGCTCCATTGTTTTAAACTTCATGCTGGTTCTGTCCCTTTCTTCAAAGAGATTGTAATATAGTTGATTAGCTTTAAACTTATTTTTTTACAATCACTTTATACTTCTCTCTTGCTAAGAATTAAGAAAACAAATCAACTTGGATAGAATTTTGGGTATTTTGAAAACTCTCATGAATCTTTATAAGTCCTTTGGATTAACTGTAAAAGTGGCTAAAGTCGAATTCATAGTTTAAGCTCCAGGGTGTCTCCTAATTTTCACCTTCCTATTTTTTGTGAGCATCTTATGTGCCCCTTGCATAAACTATGCTTGTTTATTTTTTTCTAAGGCTTGTATTGAGCTTTTGAATTAAATAGCTTGAGAATTTCTTGGATACAGATTTGTGTCAAATACTTTTCCTACCCATCACTTTTCTATTACAAGATTAATAATACAGATATATTGAGATTTTAAAAAGGGAAGATTTTTGAGAGTGCAATATTTTTATAACTAGAGCAGAATGATCTTTAGCTTTTCTAAAGGAAATCCAGGCATTCCAGAAAAACGTTTTGTTACAGCATGTTTCAGCCTCTCATTAGCAATTTCTTACTCCATAAAGAATTATTGAGGTAGTTGTGAAAAATGCTTACCAGTTGAAGATCTCTTTTATTCGCCTTAACTCTGAAACCAATTTTGAGTTAGAAGACCATGTTGGAGCTCTTACCACTCTTCAAAGCTGCCAGTTTTAATACTTTTAGAATGTGAGGAAATGCATCTGATAGACTAAGACTATCAAGTACTCTTTATGGACTTAATTTTTTAACTGAGTATCTTATTAACCAGAGATGCTTAAATTACTAAATTTTCTTCATAGTCATGGAAATTTTTATGTATTAATTTTGAAAATGGCTGATTTTTACATCTCTGTTTTTGAAAGGATATATGAGAACTGGAAAAAGAAAAGTAAGGGAGTAAACGTGAGTTTGCTATATGTTCAAATTCTTTATCCATAGTTTATAGCCTCTATTTTTTTAAACTAGAAAAAATATTTTATGGTAGGAAATTTATATAATTATTGATTTATTTTACCCTAAGTAGTAATGTTTTTAAAATTGTACTACTGCATGGATCATTTACCATGATCAAGTGGGATTTATCCCAGGATGTAAGGTTAGTTCAATATATGCATATCAATAAACATGGTATATCACATCAGCAGAATGAAGGACAAAAACATGATATTCTCAGTTGACACAGAGAAAGCATTGTAAAATTCTCATCCCTTCATGGTAAAAACCTTCAACATAATAGGCTTAGAAGGAACATACCTCAATACAGTAAAGGCTATTTATGACATTGACAACTAATATCATACTCAATGGGGAAAAGCTGAAAGCTCTTTCTCTAAGAACTGGAACAAGAGAAGGATGCTCACTCTCCACTTGTATTCAACATAGTACTGAAAGTCCTAGCCAGAGCATTTAGCAAGAGAAAGAAAAAAAGGGCATCCGTATTAGAAAAGAGGAAGTCAAACTGTCCCTGTTTGTAGATGACATGATCTCATATAGAGAATATTTATGACATTGACAACTAATATCATACTCAATGGGGAAAAGCTGAAAGCTCTTTCTCTAAGAACTGGAACAAGAGAAGGATGCTCACTCTTTCCACTTGTATTCAACATAGTACTGAAAGTCCTAGCCAGAGCATTTAGCAAGAGAAAGAAAAAAAGGGCATCTGTATTAGAAAAGAGGAAGTCAAACTGTCCCTGTTTGTAGATGACATGATCTCATATAGAGAAAAACCTAAAATCTCCACCAAAAAACTCTTAGAACTGATGAACAAATTCATTAAAGTTCATACAGAATGCACATACAAAAATTAGTAGTATTTCTTTACACCAGTAGCAAGCCAGATGCAAAAGAAATCAAGAAAGCAATTCCATTTATAATAGCTACAAAAAAATAATAAAATACCTAGGAATTAATTTAACCAAGGAGGTAAAAGATCCTTACAAGGAAAACTATAAAATACTGATGTGAGACATTTAAAAAGACATAAAGAAATGAAAAAACATGTTCATGGATTGGAAGAATTAGTATTGTGAAAATGACAATACTACCCAAAGTGATGTACAGATTCAGTGCAATCCCTATCAAAGTACCAATGATATTCTTCACAAAAATATAAAAAACAATTCTAAAATGCATATGGAACCAGAAAAGACCCTCAATAGCCAAAGCAATCCAGAGCAAAAAGAAAAAACCTGAAGGCAACACACTACCTGACTTCAAAATATACTACAAAGCTAGAGTAACCAAAACAGCATGGTATTGCCATAAAAATAGTCACACAGACCAATGGAACAAAATAAAGAACCCAGAAATAAAGCCATGTATTTACAGCCAGCTGATTTTTGATAAAGGCACCAGGAGTATTTATTGGAAAAAAGTCAGTCTCTTCAACAAATAGTGCTAGGAAAACTAGATAGCCATATGCAGAAGAATGAAAGAACCCCTATCTCTCACCATATACAAAAATCAACTCAAAATGGATTATAGACTTAAATTTAAGACCTGAAACAGTGAAACTGTTAAAAGAAAACATAGGGGAAATGCTTCAGGACAAAGACCTGGGCAAAGACTTTATGTAGTAGACCTCAAAAGTGTAAGCAACAAAAGCAAAAATAGACAAATGAGATTATATCAAACTAAAAAGCTTCTGCCCAGCAAAAGAAACAATCAACAGAGTGAAGAGACAACCTCCAAAATAGGAGAAAATATTGCAAACAATGCATCTGACAAGGGATTAATATCCAGAATATACAAGAAATTCAGATAATGACAAGAAAACAAAGAATCCAATCAAAGAATGGGTAAATGAGCCAAACAGACTTTTTCAAAAGAAGACATACAAATGGCCAACAGGTATATGAAAAAATTCTCAGTGTCACTAATCATCAGGGAAATGCAAATCAAAACCACAGTATCTTACTTCAGTTAGAATGGCTGTTATCAAAAAGATGGAAAATAACAAATGCTGGCAAGGATGCAGTGAAAGGGCAGCTCTTATACACTGTTGATGGGAATGTAGATTAGTACAACCGTTGTAGAAAACAATCTCGAGGTTTCTCAGAAAACTACAAATAGAACTGTCATATGATCCAGCAATCCCACTATTGGGTATATATCCAAAGGAAAGGGATTCAGTATATCAGAGAGGTATTTGCACTCCCATGTTCATTGCAGCACTATTCACAGCAGCCAAGATAATGGAACCAACCTGAGAGTCCATCAGCAGATGAATGGATAAAGAAAACATGGTATATATACACAATGGAATACTATTCAGCCATAAAAAAGAATGAAATCCTGTCATTTGTGGCAACGTGGATGAGTTTGGAGGATATCATGTTAAGTGAAGCAAGCCAGGAACAGAAAGAGAAATAAATGCTGCATATTCTCACTTGTATATGGAAGCTAAGAAAATTGATCACATAGAAGTAGAGAGTAGAATGGTGGTTACCAGAGGCTGGAGCAGGTGGGAGAGGAGAGACAGTGAGAGGTTGATTAATGGATACAAAAGTACAGCTAGATAGGAGGAATATCTAGTGTTCTATAGCACTGCAGGGTGACTAACGATTTATTATATATTGTATTCAGTTAGCTAGAATAGAGGATTTTGAATGTTTCCAACACAAAGAAATGGTAAATATGAGGTAATGGGAAAATCAGTGGTTGCCAGGGTTTCAGGGGATGAGGGATGGAGGGAGAGATGAATAGGTGGAGCACAGAGGATTTTTAGGGCAGCAAAACTATTCTGTATTATGCTGTAATGATAAATACATGACATTATGCATTTAGCAGAACCTTTAGAACTGTACAATACTAAGGGTACCCTGATGGAAAATTAAGTTAATAATAATATATCAACATTGATTCATAATTGTAACAAATGTAGCACACTCATGTAACGTGTCAATAATATGGGAAACTGTGTTGGGGGGGGTCAGGTAATGGGAACAATCTATACTTTCTGCTCAATTTCTCTGTAAAACTAAACCTGCTATAAAAATAAAGAAAAAAAAAAGAATGTATTATTGCATGGACGGACATTTTGGTAAGTAATGATGGAAAATATCAAATTGAGGCAAGGGTAAGAATTTAGTATACATGATTCACTAAAATAAGATTTACTTCATCTTGGTCTTAATATGGTTTCTCTATTGGTTGTTCACTGATTATGATATTTAAAAAACACCTGTTTTTTTTTTTTTTTAATAGGTGCTCATTTATGACCGGTTTGGCCAAGATATCATCTCCCCTCTGCTATCTGTGAAGGAGCTGAGAGACATGGGAATCACTCTGCATCTGTGAGTTTTAACATATTTCTGGTAGTGGAATTTATTTTCAAATGCATTATTAAAGATTTCTTTGGCCGTCCTGAAATGAGCTTATTAAGGAACATTTTTTCCCCATACCTTCTTCTATGCAGCCCTTTATTTCTGAAGTTAAAAATAATCCTCAGCCTGAGGATTTCAGAATTTAAATTTAGACTTTAATTTTTCTCCCTCGTGTCTTTTCCAACAGCCTTGGTTTACCCTCTATGTGAAAGAAAAGAAGGTAATCTTAAGGTCTCTTACAGCTATAAAAGTGTTTTATTTCTTTAATTTAAATATGCTTTTTAAAAAAGAATATCTAAATTAGCTTTTCATTAATATGAAAAATTTAAGTGACGATGAAGTAATGACTGTTAATCACCATAGGAGGCTATTTATGTTGTCTTCTTAACTGTTAAGTTTGATTATATTGCTTCTGGTGTATTTAATAAAAATAAAGCAAATTGCATTACTTTATAGACTTACCTACTAGTACCTTTGGAGAGGAACTGTATTTATGAATATTTATAAATACTTATATATGCTAAAGGAGTCCAGTTTTGTGATCTTCTAATCTATTTGCATTTTGTTTTATTTATGGTGTTATAACTAGTTTGCACTCTGGTATTATCACATATGAAATGAATTGTACTCTTTTATTGGGAATATGGTTTTAGGTTTTCATTGAGTTATATAACAGAATCTGGTTTGATCAGCTTAAATTTTTCAATCGTATTAATGAATATTATATTAATATATTCATGAATATTCATCTCAAATTAATAGAGTATTGTGTCAAATTGTAAGTGCACTTTTCAGTTTTTTGTATTTCTGAAATTAAGATCTGTCTTATAATTGATGACATGTCATAGCTGGCAGCAGTTTTCTTTCTCAGTGATCTATAAAATGTTTTCAAATTGATAACACCATTTATCAAAGCATCACACTGTGTCCTGCATAAATATATATAATTATATGTCAATTAAAAATAAAAATAAACAAATAAACTTTATAGTACCTTAGGTTTGATGAAATATGGTATTTGACATGTTTTTCCATTCATTTTTATGTTAGACTTAAAACAAATTTGCTTTTAACACAAATTTGCTTAAAACACAAATATGATAATTCTTATGGACTGAACTGAAGCTTAGCTTGATGTCATCCTTGGAAATGGTGGTTTATTAATAAGCATTGGTTGCAATTGGCACCTTACTTGGTGTTTAACTCCTGTATTTTACTAATGAAAAGACTAAGGTTTAGAAGGCTTAAGTGATCATCCCATATTTGTACAACCAGCTAATAGCAGAGTTGTGGCCAGATTGTTTGACCACTAATTCGTGTGCTGTATACCTACTGAACCATAATGGCTCAGTATTAGTGACTAAACAGAAGCAAGGCCTGACTCAGTACTTGCTTAAGGTGTGATAAGATGTCTGCCAGTTTGAGAGTATAGGAATCTCTCTGCCTAACCTATTGGTGTCGTCACCAGAGCATGTTGTCACCCAGCTACCATGGTGAACTTGCCTCTGACCATTCTTCTTTATTTGCTAGAGAATATTGCATGAATCACTTTACACTCTGCAAGCTAGCTTTGGCTGATTTGTAGGAAACAATAATTATAAGTTTTCAGAATATGAAATGATGGTCATGGCCCTTTAGGCAGTTTAGCCAGCATTAAAAAGACAGTAATATGTGGCTGCCATCACATTATCTTTCTTGGTGTCAGTAGCAGAAGCCAGACAGATGGAAGAAGTTATTAAATGTGGACCCACTGGCAGCATGTGCCTCTTTTCTCTCTCTTCTTGATGATAGAAGAGTGACTAGAGAGAGAGAAATATTGTAGAGATAGAATGTTAGTTATATTGTCTGTAAGCATAGTAAAATCTTACAATGAAGAATAAAGAGACTTTGTGATTTGATTTTGGGATATTTGAATGAAAATATTTCCTAAATTGTAGAAAGAGAAAACTGTCCAGTGATATAATTTATAAGATCCTTAGATGATCTCTTGTGCATTCTCTTAAAAAACAATAAATACACAAAAATAGATGAAATCTTTGTTTTAAGGAAACATTCATATACCTTTCATTTAAAAAATATATTTGATTTCATGTATGGTTAAATTTTTTCATAGCTTCTAAAGAATTGCTTCTAAAATTTTTTCATTGCATCCTCTGGCTTTCTGTTTTCCCTCTCTCAGAGAGCCACACTTTCCTCCCACTTACCTTTTCCCCTCACCATATTTCTGTGAAAAATGAGAAAAAGATTGATTTTGAATATGTTGAATATGCTTTAGTTCTCCTTCAAGGAGAGTGCTGGTAGAAGAGAATATCTGACCATAAGAGGTTTTAAAAATAAGGTGAGTGTAATAGAACAAATGAAAACTAACAAGAAATTAGGATCTTACATAGTGTTAACATAGTGTTAACATTGATGTAAGGAGAAAGCTGGATTAACTAACTGATTAATTGCAGCAAGAGCTTTTAGAGCACTGGTCACTGCTCTTGAGCTGGTGAACTCCCAGTTTAAGAAATATACTTTTAAACTGTTTTTTTAGATAACTAAGAAAAAAGTGAATTTTATGTTCTTCATGTCTTCTAGGCTTTTACACTCTGATCGAGATCCTATTCCAGATGTTCCTGCAGTGTACTTTGTAATGCCAACTGAAGAAAATATTGATAGAATGTGCCAGGTAATATGGATTCTTATTTTTCTGACTCTTTAATTCAGAAACAAATTTTTTTTTTTTTTTTTTTTCAAAAAAAAAAAAAAAAAAAAAAAGATGTCCTGGTCCAGTGTAAGCAATCAGAAATTCCCTTACTCAGTATCCTACTTTGATTTTTAAGGCTATTTGAATTTTAAATAGCTTGAAGTATTTTGAGTCTTTTGGCTGAAGAAACATTATATTGGTAAAGACTTAGTCTGGCTTTAAAAAAACAGAAAGCCTAACTATATTAGCTTTAAAAACAGGGTTTTAGTTTTCTGAGGTAATAGAAAGTTTGGGAATAGGGGCCGACCCTGTGGCTCACTTGGGAGATTGCGGCACTGGGAGCGCTGAAGCCACGGGTTCGGATCCTATATAGGAATGGCCAGCGCATTCACTGGCTGAGCGCGGTGCAGGAGACACCATGCCAAGGGTTGCGATCCCCTTACCGGTCACAAAAAAAAAAAAAATAGTTTGGGAATAGGAAGTCCATGGTGGTGCAGGAGCACTATAATGTATCAAAGATCCAGACCCTTCTGTCTCTTTGACCCATCATCTTTAGTTTGTTGGTTTTCATTGTCTTGCTTTTTGCTCATGGTTGTAATGTGGCGGCAGCAGCTGTGGACCCCACATGTGTGTTCATGGTGAGAAGAGGGAAATGGACTATGCTAGCACTAACTTTTCATTTTGATTAGGAAAGCTGTGCCCTTCCAGAAACTTCCAGAAGACTTTTATTTTTTTGTCTTACAGAGTAGAATTAGCTGCAAGGGAAGCTGTAAGTGTTAATATATAGATGAGTGTATTGCCACCCAAAAGAAAGTCTGGATTCTTTTCACAAGGAAAGGTGGAGAATAGTTTTCGAGGAGAGGGTTAAAGTATAATGCCCTCCAAACTGAGAAGATACTTTGAGACTGAAGAAGGAGATGGGTAGGTCGGTTTGGAGATGTCCAAAGATATTTATTAACTGGGTGACTTACACACAGGAACGCTGGATGCAGTGAAGGATCAGATGTCAGCAGATAAGATCTCTAGCTCTCTGCAGGTTAAACAACGTTTATATACCAAAAGCCCCTGATACTAAATATAACTTCAGAGAAACATCTTAAGAAAAATAAGTTAACATCATCCACCAGGTGTCTTGTGATTCACAAGGTTGGGAGTCTTGTGATTTTAGCTCTCAGACCACTGATGCCATCTGCTGTAATAAATCATTCACTCCCTGAAACCTATGTTCCTTTTACAGTTTGCCCTAAGGTGATGGTATAACTGATCAGTGAAACAAAGGGTTGAAGTTAAACAGTAAACATAGCAGGCAGGGCACAAAATGGCATTGGTTTTGTTCACCCTCTAACAAATAGATACCGGATAGGTAGCTAACAATGTCTGCTACAAGTCACAGCATTTTCACTTGTTATTGACTTTTGAATCAAATCGTTATTTAAATTGTTAGTGAAGGTCACATATTTTTTGTGTCCTGTGTAGCTTCATGACACCCAGCTTCCTCTTTTACTCTGCATAAACTTGACTGTGCCATTTTTGACAGAGGTACTACTTATTGATCTCTTCTTCCTTTTTTAAAATTTTTATTTATTTATTTATTTATTTATTTTTTATTTTTTTAAAGATGACCGGTAAGGGGATCTTAACCCTTGGCTTGGTGTTGTCAGCACCATGCTCAGCCAGTGAGCAAACCGGCCATCCCTATATAGGATCCGAACCCGTGGCCTTGGTGTTATCAGCACCGCACTCTACCGAGTGAGCCACGGGCTGGCCCATTCCTTTTTTTTTTTTTTATAACAACTTTATTGAAATATAATTCACATATCATATTATTCGCCCATTTAAAGTGTACAAGTGTACACTTTGAACAATTCATTGGTTTTTACTATATTCACAGAATTGTGTAGTCATCACCACAATTTTAGAACATTTTAATCACCTCAAAAAGAAACCTTGTACCCTATAACTATTACATCCCCAACACACCCCCATCCCCTCCCATCCCTAACCTACTTTCTGTTTCTATATATTTGTGTATTCTAGCCGTTACATATGAATGGAATCATATAATATGTAGTCTTTTTGTATCTGACTTCTTTTTCTAAGCTGTTTTCAAGGTTTATCCATTTTGTAGCATGTATCATTACTTTATTCCTTTTTATAGCTCAACATATTCTATTGTATGAGTATACCAAATTTTGTTTATCCATGTATCAGTTGATGGGCATTTGGGTTGTTATCACCTTTTGGCTGTTGTTAATAATGCTGCTGTAAACATTCACGTACAAGTTTCTTTGCAGATATGTTTTTATTTTCTTGTGTCTTGGGTCTTCTGGACTTTCAATTCTGTTTCTTTGATCTTTATGTCTATCCTTATGCCCATACCACATGGTTTTGATTTTTCTTACTTGGTAGCAAGTTTTGAAGTTGAGAAATTGAGTTCTTCAACTTTGTACTACCTTTTGAGGATTGTTTTGGCTTTTCTGGATCCCTTGAATTTCCAAATGAATTTCAGGATTAGCTTGTCAGTTTTTACAAAGAAGCCACCTGGGGATCTGATAGGAATTGCATTGAATCTGTAGATCAGTTTGGGGAGTATTGCCATCTTAACATTAAATTTTCTGATCTATGAACTTGGGATAGCTTTCAGTTTCTTTAGATCTTTAATTTCTTTTAATAATGTTTTATAGTGTTTATAATGTAAGTTTTGCATTTCTTGTTAAACTTATTTCTTCATTTTTTTTAATGCTATTGTGAATGGAATTGTTTTCTTAATTCCATTTTTAGGATTTTCATGGCAATTGTATAGATATCCAATTGATTTTTTTTTTTTTTCCTTTTTGTCTTTTTTTTTCGTGACGGGTAACGGGATCGCAACCCTCGGTGTCGCGCCCACACCGCGCTCAACCAGTGAGCGGACCGGTCTCTATATGGGATCCGAACCCTCGGCGGGAGCGCCGCCACGCTCCCAAGCACTGCACTCTACCGAGTGCGCCACTGGCCGGCCCAGATATCCAATTGATTTTTATATTGATCTTATATCCTGCAACATTGCTGAACTTGTGTGTCTTTTGAAATGTGTCCACCATTCTTTGACTACTTCCTTACTTTCTGGCACAATAAGATGTTCCAGTTTCATCTTTTACTTTCTCTGTCCCAGCTCAGGATTCAGCCATTTCTCTAGAGATCCCTGGTTGCTTTTTATACAGAATGGTATTTAGAAATCGGGATCTGGGCATTAAGTATACTTATTGTAACTAGAGTGTCATTGTTCCCAGGTCCTCTCAGTGGACAAAGCTAGGAAGTATATGTGCACACACATATACTTTTATATCTGTATTTATTTCTATAACTCTCCCTCTCTCCTGCCTACCTGTCTAGACAGATATCCTCCAAAACTGTTTCAGTTCAGCAACATAGAATTTATTATAGCTTTTCCTTTTTCCCTTTACAAACTTGGAACTCCTTTCTCTAACAGTGAGAAACATGGTTCCCAATATCCTGAACATGTTATTTTTTCAATCCTCATGTATAAGCAGTCTCCTGACCTTTGTTGAACCACTGCTTTGCTCAGCTGCCTTCCTCAGGCAGGTTCCAACCCCTCAGTTTTTCATATTCAAACATCTCTGAAATCACATGCCTCTTAAAATTGATCATGTGTCATAAAATTTTATTGGAAGCATTAACTCTTTTAGTGGTACATAAAGTGATGGTACCTGTTACAGTCAGTGACATCTGATATTTGAGAAAAATGTTTATTTAGATATCTATTTGCCTAGAGTTTAAGAAGATAAGTAAATTTGATTTTAGAAATTGCATAACTGAAATTCCACTACTTTTGAGTGATTGAGAAGAACTACTTCTGGGATTGGTAATTAGAATTATGTCTGTGTCCAGTGAAGGAAATATTTGTTGTGTCATTACATGACCAGAGCAGTCGAAGGTAGGGTCTGCCAAATATAACAAGCATTTTACTGTATTAGAGAGCCACTTTCAGGTATTTTTAAGAAAAATTCAGATAGGCTATTTCAGAGCAGTTTTGTACTATACTGTAATTAATGGAATTTTGTTGATAATATTGGAATTTTATACCCTTAATTATTAAGATATATTTCAGTTACATCTGGTAACCAGATAACCAGTACTTCCTCATAATTTTGTTCTTTTGGGATATTTTTTTGATTGTCATTTTTATAATGTCTTTTAAATATGTATCTTCTAAAGCCTTGCTCTTACAGTATTTAGAAGATTTTTATTCATGGTGTCCTTTTTACTATCCTGTAAGAATGAAATATTCATTGTATTTATAGGATCTTCGAAATCAAATCTATGAATCATATTATTTAAATTTTATTTCTGCTATTTCAAGAAGTAAACTGGAAGATATTGCAAATGCAGCATTAGCAGCTAGTGCAGTAGCACAAGTAGCCAAGGTAAGATATTTTGGCTGATGACATTTTGTTAATGTGAAATTTATCAGTGTTTTGAAACCTGTTAATTGACATAGATTTCTAATTTGCCAGTGACCAGAACAACCTAAGAAATGTTTAGACTCGGTATTAGAAAGAGTTCTGGTAATGTAAATTATCTTCAACTTGAACTAGGCAAAATAAACCAAACTAAAGAAACCTACTATTCGAATGAATTTGAAAGACTAAGAAGCAGAGTCAGTTTGCTTTAGGCTGGGATTTGTATGATCTTTTTAGCTCAACTCAAAAATAGTTTGATAGTTGCGTTGTCATAAATTGTGCTGAGAATATTTGGACATTGTTTTATCTGTAATCACGATAGTCACCATACTTTCTCCAGATCTTTATTTACTTGAGGGGAGGATCCAAGAAGGCTATGTTGCATACTATAAGGAAAAAGGAATTCACAACACACCAGCAGTTCTACATCATAGTGACATTTTAGTCAGGTTCAGCTTCAGTCATAAATAAATTGGTGAAATATATTCCTGGTTATAGCCCTGTCATGCCCTGTGCTGCTTGAATTTGGACAAGTCATAAATGAAATTTGTAGGGAACTAGGCAGGGTAAATATAAGAGTAAACAACTATGCATAACTTCCCATATTTTCCCACTGATTTTTCATTCTTAGATCAATATTGCTTTGGATTAGTTTTTGAGGCCGATACCTTAATGTTCTTGCTCAAAATTTATCATTAATTTCACATAAAATAATAGGAACGGTTTTTTATTTAACTAAATTTAATATACAGTCATGTGCCACATAATGTACCATGTATACAATGGTAGTGCCATAAGATTATACTGGTTATACCACATAGCCTAGGTGTGTAGTAGTCTGTACCATCTGTCTAGGTTTATATGATTACACACCATGATGTTTGCACAATTACGAAATCTCCTAACAACACATTCCTCACAATGTATCCCCATTGTTAAGTGATGTATGACTGTATTTCAAATCGTTTTCTTAAAATTTCTCCTAATTTGCACTTCCACAGAATTGGTATAACTTTTTCCCATTTTGTATATAAAAGTTCAAGGTGTCAAAACAGTTACTGTGACTTAGGAAAGTGTGATTAAAATGATTACAAAAATTAAACTTGTGGTTTTTCTTCAATCTCTATTCCCATCAGAACCACAATTTAAATTCTTATATCTGCTTAAATTTTGTTTTTAGAAAATATTACTTTTCTCCTTGGTATTTATTGCTCAAAGGTTCTTTCTTACTGCTTTTTTAATATTTTTAACTCCTCTTTCTGGCCCAATTGGGCAATCTGCTACATAGTACTACTTTTAGTTATTGAATGTAATTGTGATTTTTTCCATTTTTACCATTGGTAGATTAAAACAAACTAAATTTACTTTCAATATGGCTATATTATAAAATTGATTTGTAAACCTTTTCTTTTGTTTCTAGGTTTTTGATCAGTATCTCAATTTTATTACTTTGGAAGATGATATGTTTGTATTATGTAATCAAAATAAGGAACTTGTTTCATATCGTGGTATGTAAAAGTAGTAATGTTACAAATTGTTGTTAACAAGAAGAATGGTGTACTATAAGACAAAATATAGTGAACATGTTTAGTGTACTCCAGAACCAGCCTTGGTTACAGCAGTAAAGCTATGAAAGATTTTTAAAAGCATACAAGGAAAACAAGTCTCAGACTGAATTCTGTCATAACCTGTTTTGTAAGCTCAATTAAGTATCAATTCTCTGACCTTTTCTGTGCCCCCACAGCAACTTACGTAAATAGTTTACTCATGGCAAGTAAGACAATATTTTAGTAGCAGGAATCAGTTAATTGTCTAGTACTTTGATCTTGGACAAGAATAAGTTACTTTACTTCTCTGTGGTTGTGAAACAGTGAACCAGATGGTAAGCTCTCTGAGAGAAGAGAGCATGAATCTTTTGATTTCGTTAAGCTCTACAGCATGCTTTCTTGTTGAAATTAAACAGAATCTCTAAAAGTGTATAAATATTTGCTGAATTGTCTGTGTAAGAGATTTTTGACAGTGATTGTTATTCACAGAAATCTATGTACAATTAATTGAGCTTTAATTAGCAACTTATTTAAGTTGCGTGTTTAAGACTTAGTTTTCCTTAAGCCTTTAAGTTAAACTTATAAATTTTGGGGCCGGCCCGGTGGCGCACTGCTACAGTGCGCCGCTTGGGAGTGCGGTGGCGCTCCCGCCAAGGGTTCGGATCCCACATACAGACCGGTTCCCGCTCACTGGCTGAGCGAGGTGCGGGTGCGACACGGAGGGTTGTGATTCTGTTGCCGGTCCCGGTCCGGTAAGGGCACGACACTGAGGGTTGCAATCCGTTGCCAGACACGAAAAAAGACAAAAAAAAAAAAAAAAACTTATAAATTTTGTTATATCGTTTATAAATTGGGCAAAATAAAAACAAGCACCTTTGCTTTTTCCTTGATCAATTAACTCAAACTTATAAATTTTGTTATATCATTTATAAATTGGGCAAAATAAAAACAAGCACCTTTGCTTTTTCCTTGATCAATTAACTCAAATTGAACAGACTGAATTCTGCTAATCAGTGTCATTTAACAAGCTTAATCAGAAAACTTAGTTTGTTAAATTCCTTTAAGCATTTTAAATTGCATTTATAAATTCAGTATATTAAGTTTTCTTTTTAAAGTACTTCATATACCAGACCAGGCAAATTTATAAATCTGACAAGCAATACCTGCCCAAATATAAAAATAATTCTTTAAAAAATAATTAAATGTGTAATGAATCTAAAGTTCATTAAACATTCAAATACTTACAAGTTTAACTATCTTATACCTATAAGCTTTAAAGAAAGATCACATATCTGAAATTAATTACTAATTTTAAAATATAATCATGACTAATTGCCCAGGTTCTTAATAATAATAATAGTAATAGCTTGCCCTGTGCCAATCAGTGTTTTAAGCACTTTACAATATAAGCTCATTTATTTCTCATAATAACTTTGCGAAGTAGGTGTTACTATTATTTCCATTTTCCACATGAGAAACCTGAGGCATAGATATTAAGTAACTTCTTGAGGAAGTGAAAGAATGAGGTTACTGGACACAGGCAATCACTCTAAAGATAGCACTTTTAACCATTATTTAATTATATACCAAATTCTCTCAAACATTACAAGTGCTTTAAGTAATAAACAGATGTCCCTAAACATAAGTCAGATATACTGTGAATTTGATTTGCATCTCCTCTTTTCAATTCTAAATTTTCCATGGACTGGGAATTTATCAAATAAAGGAAGCAGATTTATCTTCTCAGTCAAACTGTGGCTATCTCAAAGCAAGTTGTTATCTCAAGTTAAGTTGAGGTTACTGATGGATAGTTTGTAACCATTAAGGATACTTCTCATTATGACAGGTATAGGATCCAAGGGTTAGATTCTTCCATGTAGATTTTACCTGTGCCAGTTGTTGGCAGAAAGAACTAGATGGTTCCCTGAATTGATGTCCCCTGAAATCACATAATTTACATTGTATCCTTATACCATTTCTTTAATCTGATTTGGACACATGGGAGTCTGCAACACCCAAGTAACAGCATACTTCCTTCATCCAAATTCTGTGTTGCCTGATTGAATTCTTTATTATTTTATGTTCTCGGTGAACTGCACTTTCTTTAGATACTTTGACATATCAAATTGGATTCTGTTTTCCTCTTAGGCTAATCACAAATTCTGTTAAATTTTATATCTGTTTTCACAGTCAGGATATTGGGAAATTAAAAATACTGTGTAGTTCAGTCTTTCAGCTCGGACTTACTGAGCATCTTCTTTGTCAGACATGGGCCTAAATATTCTGAGAGAGAGGAAAATAAATAATGCAAAGTCTTTGACTGTTAAGGACAGCCTTCAAAACAGCAAAGGATTGTTTGCATTAGATTCACTTGAGTAACTTGTCAAAATTGCAAATTTCTTAGAATTATCTCAAATCTATTGAATTGAATCCCTGGAGGAAAGGGCTAAGAATTTTTAATTTTTTAAATCTTCCAGAGAAACAACTTTTTCTACCCCCATATTCCAAGGGTGATTCTTCTATTCACTAAAATTTGGGAACTACTATGTAGATTAGAAAAGAAATTCTAAAACTTGTAATTAATAGAAGTTCTGTAACTTAAAAAGAAAATGATATGTGATGTTGGTTTTGCCATAATTGATTTGTATTATCCTTTTTCTGAGAGTAGTTGGATGGAAGAATCAATAGTTTCTTGAGGCCATATAGTATTTGAGTAAAATTATGGAATATAATGTTTATTTTCCTATTTGGCAAAAATTTTGTATAGTTTATACAGTATGTTTGGTTTTTTTCTTCTTGTTACTACTCTCCTGATATTGAGGTGGTTTGCTATGTTTTCTGTTTTTTGTTTTTGAGGTAGGTACTATAGTTTTTAATGGATACTTGTTCACTTAAAGTTTTTAGCCAAAAATTTTATTTGTCTGAGTACTGCGATTGTTATCGTACTGCATGTTGATTAGGAGTTTTTTAATAATTTTAAGAGTTTTATAAAGATGAGGCATAAATATGGTTCTTTTTTTTTTTTTTTTCTCCTTTACCTATGTCATTTTAGCCATCAACAGGCCAGATATCACAGATACAGAAATGGAAACTGTTATGGATACTATTGTTGACAGCCTCTTCTGCTTTTTTGTTACACTGGGTAAATTTTCAAATCTTTCTGGTTATTTCTTCAAAGTAAATTAATTATTTAACAACTCATTTTAATATATTACACTGTAATATCCTTTTTCAGCTGGCTCTCTAGAGGCTCTTCAGAGTTGGGGTAAAATATACATTCGATACTGTAACTCTTTGAACAATTTGGCTCTCTAGAGGCTCTTCAGAGTTGGGGTAAAATATACATTCGATACTGTAACTCTTTGAACAACTTGATGTGGTTGTTCCACTTGAGTTAGCATTTAGTAGGTTTATTGAGTTGTCTCATTAGATGTCTTTGGTAAGTCTGACTTTTAAATACATTGTTTGAATACTTTTGTGGTGACTTCACCTGTGTCTGCTAATTTTCTTTTAATACTTCATTATGAAAAATTTTAAATGTACTTCTAACTAGAGAGAGAGAGATGCTGGGTAACTCTTAAGATCAGAAACCCAAGGCTCCAGAAAACACTACATTTACATGTAATACTAGTCTATCTATACTCTCAAAATTTAAAGCATTTCTTTAGATCATCTAAAATTATTTAGCCACATTGTGTTTAGTACCTAATATATGACATGTTTTACTATTGCTAGAAACCTAATTGCAATTTTAATTTTGCACTTAAAGCCTTTCAGTTAAAATGATCCTTACTCTAGATTAATAAAATCTTTATTTTGCAAATGAGAAAATTAAGAGATATTATGCATAGTTTAGGATTTAGACAGATGTTTGAGGAGAATTTATATGCAAATTTGGGCTCCCTCCTTTCAGGGATTTTTCCTGTCAGTTTCCAGCCCTGAACTCCAGTCTTTGATTTCTCATCTCAGTAAGTCTCCTGTTCTCTGCTTGAGCTCTTTCTCCTGTGTGCCATGCAATGCAAAGTGAAAAGTGTGGCACACTTTTTCTCCTTTTTTCTTAGGAGAAAAGCTGCTTGAAAATATATCTCACCTTATGTGATTCCCTTCTTTCAGGAGTTTTATCCCCTCCACTTTCTGCCTGCTTTGAACTGCTCTCAATGCACTCAAATGGGTTGCTTTTTCTTTAAAGAAAACATGTGTACAACTTTTAGTCATTAAACAGGCTTAATTATGTGTCTACTTCGCCATCCCACACAATCTCCAAAATGTTGCCAAATGCTAGAGTTATTGAGGACATTGAGGTTATTTTTACTTGGTGATAGTTATATTTTCAAAGTAAGTGTAGATTGAAAACGAGATGTATAAAGACCACTGACATGTTAGAGCCATTTTTATTATGTATAGAATATCAGAAGCTGATTTTTTTAGAGCAGAAATTGAAATTACTGTCAGACATAGAAGGATGTCAACACTAAATTATTAAATGAAAAAAAAGCAAGATTCAGAACAGTATGTATAATATCGTATTTTTGTTTTACACACACACACACACACACACACACACACACACACACACACACTTACTAAGCTATATGTAGAAAACAACCTGAAAGCATTTATTCTTGATTTATAATGGGCATTATTGGGGGGGCTAGAATCGGGAGGGTTACTTTCATACGTTTCTAATATTATTTAAATTTTTTGTGACAAGTATGAATGATTTTTTGCCATCAGAGGAAAGTACAGGTTTGAAAATTTTCCTAGTATTCCACATTTTTACTTTTTGCAGTTGACTGAGTGTTCTTTCCCATAGAATTGAAAATGCAACAATTTCAGTGGATAAAGATTACAGTGTTCTTAGTATGTTATATGAGATTTTCAGTGCAATTGGATTTTTTCTATTATTTTAGGATTTCAGCCTTTGATAAAACATATTGGAATAGTAAAGGAAGAGGAATTAAGAGGTCCAGTGAGTTGATTCAGTAATGAATGGAGGTTGAATAGAGGCGATCTCTTATGAGCATTTCACATAATATGAAAAATGTGTTTTCTATTATCTTTTAAATTATTTTTTTTAGAAAAGACTACAATCAGTCATTCTAAATTTGTAAAATAAACAAAAAGTAGGAATCCCAAAGTGTTAAATTGGCTAAGTTATTTTCATTCTTTTAAATCAAAGTAAATCCTGTGAATAGAGCGTAAATTTATTCTTTTTTTTTTTTTGTCTTTTTCCGTGTCCGGCAACGGATCGCAACCCTCAGTGTGTAAATTTATTCTTAAAACTGACTACGAAGGGATAAAAATACCAATTTGGTCAATCCATTGAAAGAATCTGGTCACACTCATTGATCAGCTCCATATGAAAATGGTTTTCTTCTGATTCCCTGATGTTTTCTTTATTAATGGGAAGGTTTATTTCTGAAACTTTGCTTTTGCTCCTGAGATTATAAATCTTTTTATATTTGTAGCCTGAAATTGTATATATATGTATTGTATGTTATTTTTTGATACGATGTATTCTGTAAGTATCTATTTTAATTAAGGGCCAAGATCATTGCTAACATTTACTGTTAAAAATAGGTGCTGTTCCTATAATCAGATGTTCAAGAGGAACAGCAGCAGAAATGGTAGCAGTGGTGAGTACACACAAATGTCATTTGGGATAAATAACATTGTGTGAATTGTTTTTCCATAAGTACTAAAAGTGTTTTTAATAATATTAAGTACTGTATATATTTGCTATGGATTATATATTAAGTACCAATGGCAAATATTTTTATTTATTACATTGGGATTTAACCAAAGATAAAAAGTAATTATTTTGTACTTCTGTGTGATGGAGTAAAGTTATTTAATCCAGAGTGCTGTTCCTGCCCTATTTCTTTTTTCCTTAAAACATATTACTCATTCAGCCTTTTCTTTCCAAGTAGTATTTTGCATTTATTTGATCCTCCAAGACACTTAATATTTAAATTCATTTAGCAAATAGTTATTGCCAGTCATAACCATTTTTAAAATTGGTAAAGTGAGTTTTGCTATCGTACTATATTGAGATAAAACATTCACTCTAAATTGAGCATTCACAAATTTGCTTTAAAGATTAAAAAGTAAATAGGGGGCTAGAGAAATTACAGAATTACTGAAAAGAAAAGAGGGTAAGTAGTATGGGAAGACAGGAAGATACATTGACATTCTGGAGTTTTAGTAGCCCAGATGAATCACTGCTGGTGGAGGTCTGTTTTCTTTCACATATTCCATATCTATTCTCAGGCCTCTTACATTCACCACTACCCTCTTCACTCCCACGCACCCAAGTCAACAGTTTTTCCTTATAGTCACCTTTCTTGGTACAACAGAATCATGCTTGGGGAGAAAGGATGGGTCATTACTGCAAAGCATTTCCTGTACCTAAAGTAAAATTAGTCAATGAAAGGTGCTTATTAGTGAAATCAGGCCTGAGTCACTGTCAAAAGACACTGTCTTTTTCCAATCCAAGTTATGATGGTATTATGTAAATAGTAAAACTAGAATATTTAAATTTCAGAATTACTATTTTGTAAAGAAATTCCTGATTTCTTGATTATGTAACTAAGGACATACCATGTATTACCATACTTAAAGTTATGTGAAACTGTTAAGAGTTTATCTAAAATTTGATTTTTCAGAAACTAGATAAGAAACTTCGGGAAAATCTAAGAGATGCAAGAAACAGTCTTTTTACAGGTGATACACTTGGAGCGGGCCAATTCAGGTATTATGTTAATATAGTATTTGAAAATAAAACATTTGTAGAGTTTGTTGTTATTTTTCTTGTCTGATGGAATACCTTTAGCCTTGCAATTGAAATTTGTTTCTTTTTAATGAGGTAATTAGGATCAGGGTTTTGACTCAAGTAGTTCTTGACACACAAATGAAATATTTTATTCAATTTACCTTCTTTTGGTAGAAATTTCTGTTGCATTTTATCATATGTAGGAGAAATTTTTCTGTTTATATGGCTTTGAAGTTCAGAAGCCATTTCCTTTCAGTTATCATTAAACCTCTTGGTAATAAAAAAACATGAAAAATTTGTGATATTTATATCTGTTTCTACCTTTATTATCTGATTTTAATTTTTACACTGAAATACTAATAGCCTAAACTTGAAAAACATTTTCGTCATTGTTAGCATGTCTAGCATGAGTAAGTGATACTCAAGTTACTAGCTGCTCTATTATTATTGAATAGAAATACTGAAAAAAAAACTATACATTATAGTACATTTAACTTTTGATTATTAATAGTAATGGACAATACTGGGATAAAGAAATGAAGAAACTCACTCAAATGACTGAGAATTATTTAAAAAGGAGGAGACTGTATTTTGAAAAATTAATTCTTAGCCCCAGTTTAGGTGAATTAATAAATAAAGCCTGTGAAAATAAATTGATGCCCAGAGAAATAACTGCCCTCTTAGAATAATAATTTCACAATAACTTTTGAAAAATTAATTCTTAGCCCCAGTTTAGGTGAATTAATAAATAAAGCCTGTGAAAATAAATTGATGCCCAGAGAAATAACTGCCCTCTTAGAATAATAATTTCACAATAACCATCTATAGACTTCACTTCAAGTCAATTTTGATGGCTTCTACAGCCTTTGTGTTATTCCTGTAATTTGGAGTTCACACTAAAATGTGTTTGAATTGTTTGCTTAACTGTCTCAGCTCCCACATTATTTTAAGCTGTTATGTGATTTCATTGCAGGTTTTAAATATTCTTCAAAATGTTTCTCATTAAGTAGAGCAGAAATATCAAATTCTCGTCTGGTTTTTTTGTTGTTTTGGGGTTTTTTGGTTTTTGTTTTTTTAACAGAAGCAACCACAACCACTATGTCATACCTTACTTAATAGTTCCCTTCTTATATTGCTTAGGTATAGGCCTTAGAAACCCATGTAAAGGCACTGTTTCATTTGAATACGCTTTAAAAATTTGTTCACATTATCATAAAATAGTCGACTTGTTTAATTTGTTTGATGCATTTCTAAATTATTTTAATCAGGGGTCAGCAACCTTGTTGAACTATTGTTAAATACATTTGAATTGAACCATAGGCTAGTGATTCTCAACAAGGGGCAATTTTTACCCTCTGCAGACATTTAGTATTGTCTACAGACATGTATGGTTGTTACAGCTGGGTAGATGGTACTAGAATCTAGTGGGGTGCATT